CTCTCTCTGAAAAGCAATGGAAAAAATATCCTCGGGTAAGGATTAAAAAAATAAAAATAAAAAGAGGCATTTAAGGAAATCCAAGGACCAATGGAAAGAAGATTGATGCAACCTTATCAATTCATTTAAGACAATATTCTTTTTTAAAAGATAGTATAAACAGGCCACAGATCAGTCAGAACTTTGTAGACAGGCCTGAAATTTTCTTGAGTATGTGTTACTTTAGCACTTTAAAGATATAAAACCACTTTTTAAGTACTAAATGTCATTATATGCCTTTAAAGTTTCCTGTGCTTTGGGTTTGAAAGAGTTTAGTTATGTCTTTCTCTGTCTATAGGTTGTATAATTTGTTACTTTTAAATACCAGTACTTCAATAGTTGTGTGTTTTTTTGTATGTGCAAATATTGAGGGAAACGGGGAGGCAAACCAATACTTTGCTTTGGAGCCCATTTTGTAAGCATAAACTTATCTTCCTAATTGTATTTATTTAAGCAAATGTTCAATTTGGTTTGCACTGCTTGAGAATTTATTTACTTGAAGATAAAGGCAATCCAGATGTATATCTCTGGTAGGTAGAATCCAATCAATGACTTTAAAATTTTCTTGGATAACCCATAAAATGGATAACTCAAATACAGATAAATGAGCACTGGCAGTATATCACAGTGATAATTTTGTATCTATCAGAAAAAGAATTAAATCCAATTTCTCTTACTCTTTTATTTTTATTATAATGGCCAGCTTTGGTATTTCATTGTTACTGAGATTTGTTTTTAGAATAAAAATTTATTCTGCAAGTGTCAAAAAAAAAATAAAAATCTTCCAGCCTGCAGAATCAAGTCCAAATTCCTTAGTCTTCTCTTTCTGGCTTCTGGTAATAGTGGAGTAGTTTACATTGGACTAACCCTCCCGATAATAATGATAATTAATCCTGGAAAAAATACTTTAAAACAACTATTTGAAGGCACTAGAAAGCTATCAAAATGTCGCAGAAAATGAAAGGGCTTCGACTCTTGAAATAAGGGAACTACACCAGGATACATGTTGATGTGGCTGGGACACTCCTCAGCCTGCAAACCATGGAGCAGATAGAACTCAAGAGGAAACTCACAGTTTTATTTTCCTGAGGAATTGGAGAATGAAATTTGAAGACTGCTGGAGAGATGCTGAAAATTGAGATTAAAAAATCTGAGAAAGAAGCAAGCCATAAGGGGGAAAGCCCCAAGGTCCACATATAAATTCCCCTTAAATTCTTGGCTTGCCCCTGAATTACAAAGAATCAGGTAATACTCCAAGGTGGCTGAGTAAAACTAAACAAACAAAAAAGGCCTGGGGGGATGCAGGGTACAGGGGGTCAATGAGAAAAAAAGAGGGACACCGTAATACTTTCAACAATAAAGATAAATTAAAACAAACAAACAAACGCCCTAGCCAGTTTAACTCAGTGTTTAGAGTGTCGGCCTGCAAACTGAAGGGTCCCGGGTTCGATTCCGGCCAAGGGCATGTACCTCGGTTGCAGGTTTGCAGATAGCATAATTGCCTTTGTAAAAAAATCCAAAAGAATTAAAAAAAAACTTCTGGAACTAACAAGCAATGATAGCAAGGTTGCAGGATACTAGGTTAATATGTAAAAAACAAGTTATTTACTATATAGCAACAATGAAAACTGGAACTTAAAATTTAAAAACAATACCATTTGCATTAGCAGCCCAGAAAAGAATTACTCAGGAATATATCTAATAATTGCATAACCATATATCTAATAGATAAAAGGTCTATATAAGGAAAACTACAAAATTCTGATGAAAGAAATCAAAGACCTAAATAAATGGAGAGATGTTCCATGTTCATGGGTAGGAAGACTCAATATTGTCAAGATGTTAGTTCTTCCCAATTTGACCTATAGATTCAACGAAATCCAAATCAAAATACCATCAAATTCTTTTGTGGACACTAACAAACTGATTCTAAAGTTCAAATGGAAAGGTGAAAGACCAAGGGCAGCCACCATAATGATGAAGAACAAAGTTGTAGGCCTGCCACTACCTGCCTTCAAGACTCACTATAAAACTATAACAATCAAGACAGCGTTACTGCTGAAAGAATAGATAAGCAGATCTAATCTTAGAATAGCTACAGAGAGAGCACAGAAATAAAGCCCACATATATAGTCAAATGATCTTTGACAAAGGAGTAGAGGCAATTCAATGGAGAAAGAACAGTCTTCTCAACAAATGGGGATGGAACAACTGGACATCACATGACATCAATCAACCAATAAATAAGTAAATCAGTAAATGAATAAGTAAATGAGTGAATTAATGAATGAATCTAGGCACTGGTCTGACATCTTTCACAAAAATCAACTCCAAATGGATCATAGGCCTAAATGCATGATGCAAAACTATAACATTTCTAGAAGATAACATAGGAAAAAATCCAGATGACCTTGGGCTTGGCAATGAATTTTTTACTATAACGGCAACCTATGACCCAAGGAAGAAAAAAATTGGTAAGCTGACTTTATTAAAATGAAAAACTTCTACGCTGCAAAAGATACAATTAAGAGAATAAAAAGATAAGCCACAGAGTGGGAGAAAATATTATACAGGGTTTGGCAAAAGAAGGTTTACAGTTGTGAGTACACAAAACACAGAGTTTATTCTTGTATTATTTATTATTGCATTATTTTCCATACGAACAATTGTAAACCTGCTTTTGCCCCACCCTGTATACACATATATAGAAAATATTATATATATGATAAAGTACTTGTATCCAAAATATACAAAGAACTCTTAAAACTCAACAATAAAAAACAAACCCATTTATAAAACAAGCAAAAGATCTGAACAGTTACCTCATCAAAGCAGACATACAGATAACAGATATACAGCAACTTATTAACAAAGCTTTTGTTATGAAAGCTGATTTTTCTTTTCACCACCCTACAAGACACTTATCCTAGGAGGAAAGGAGTTGGTTAAGTATTATTCTTCTTTAAAAGGGTATAAATATGTTAAAGAATCTACAGGAAAAGGTAGATATAATGA